TTTATATTCCTTCAGTATCGTATAATTGTACAAAAAATATTCTGTATAATTCGATTTGAAAGCTATACGTCGCTTTCAATAAATGGCAACTTGCAGTTTGTTCTAAGAAACTAGAAAATGCATATTTCTTTAATATCTTGTGGTCGTAGAAAAAATATGCAGTATAATTCGATTGGAAAGCTATATGACGCTTTCAATAAATGGCAACTTGCAGTTTGTTCTAAGAAAATGGAAAATGCATATTTCTTTAATATAGTGTAGTCGTAGAAAAAATACTGTGTGTAATTCGATTGGAAAGCTATTTGCCGCTTTCAATAATTGGCAACTCGTAGTTTAAATTTATTGTACTATCTTACTATCTTGTACCATCTTACTAAAAATAATAAACAACTAAACGATTTAATAAAACGTCCACGTATAATTAAAAAATAGCTTGTACTACTTGTAGTTTGATATAAGAAAATGAAAAATTTCTTATGTCGTGCAATAAGAAGCAAGCATCAAAATGGTGATGATGTAATCACACGAATGTGATTCACCCTGTACACTAGATCATAATTTAAACAAATAGTAAATTAAAATCAATCTGTTTCAGGTATTTCTAATTTTATCGTTTATTTAACTAATAATGAATGAATGCCTTTATAGACGCACTGTATATATGGCGTGGTGAAACGTAAATTGCATTCAGTGATTTTTAAATCTGACTGGTGAAATAGGTGGATAGATATTTTGAATTGAATAGTCAAACTAAAGTACAAAAATATTACATAATATACTTACCATTTAAAGTCGTATCATTCAATAGCACGTGTTTGGAATCCAACACTTGTTCACGTTCCTCTCTGTTTAGACATTTTGTAGATTCATATTTTGGAAGAAATATAAGGTTATTTTGCAACTTATCACATGATTTGGTTTCGAGTAATTGTTGTTTTGTCTTAGATGTAATTTCATAAGCAGCATTTATTTTGTTAACAGCATTTTTCAGCTTTTGTAATCTCGTTTTGTACATGTTAATATTTCACCTACACACAATCCAAATTGCGGCAACTCAACTCTAAAGTCTAACTAGAACTAAAATAACGGTCCAGCAACATCGCATTGTTGGGTAGAGGGAGCCACTATCTTACCACGCCCCCGTTGCCACAATTTGGCTTGTGTTAGTAACATGCCTCAAACTAAATAATGGAAACTAACACATATTCTAGAGAAATTAAATTAAAAACAAATTTATAAACATTTCTTCAAAAAACGAGTATCTACTGAAATGTAAACCAAATTTTCAGTTTATTGCTTCAAAATCATGACGAAATGATGTGATGTTAGTGAAATAAATACCAAAAAAATTCTGGCAACGTGTGTAAGTTGCCACAATTTTAGAAGTTACCAGAGTGCAGGCTTATTCACACACAAGTTGCCATAAATATCCTGGGACACACACACACACACACACACACACACACACACACACACACACACACACACACACACACACACACACACACCACACACACACACACACACACACACACACACACACACACACACACACACACACACACACACACACACACACACACACACACACACACCACACACACACACACACACACACACACACACACACACACACACACACACACACACACACACACACACACACACACACACACACACACACACACACACACACACACACACACACACACACACACACACACACACACACACACACACACACACACACACACCACACACACACACACACACACACACACACACACACACACACACACACACACACACACACACACACACACACACACACACACCACACACACACACACACACACACACACACACACACACACACACACACACACACACACACACACACACACACACACACACACACACACACACACACACACACACACACACACACACACACACACACACACACACACACACACACACACACACACACACACCACACACACACACACACACACACACACACACACACCACACACACACACACACACACACACACACACACACACACACACACACACACACACACACACACACACACACACACACACACACACACACACACCACACACACACACACACACACACACACACACACACACACACACACACACACACACACACACACACACACACACACACACACACACACACACACACACACACACACACACACACACACACACACACACACCACACACACACACACACACACACACACCACACACACACACACACACACACACACACACACACACACACACACACACACCACACACACACACACACACACACACACACACACCACACACACACACACACACACACACACACACACACACACACACACACACACACACACACACACACACACACACACACACACACACACACACACACACACACACACACACACACACACACACACACACCACACACACACACACACACACACACACACACACACACACACACACACACACACACACACACACACACACACACACACACACACACACACACACACACACACACACACACACACACACACACCACACACACACACACACACACACACACACACACACACACACACACACACACACACACCACACACACACACACACACACACACACACACACACACACACACACACACACACACACACACACACCACACACACACACACACACACACACACACACACACACACACACACACACACACACACACACACACACACACACACACACACACACACACCACACACACACACACACACACACACACACACACACACACACACACACACACACACACACACACACACACACACACACACACACACACACACACACACACACACACACACACACACACACACACACACACACACACACACACCACACACACACACACACACACACACACACACACACACACACACACACACACACACACACACACACACACACACACACACACACACACACACACACACACCACACACACACACACACACACACACACACACACACACACACACACACACACACACACACCACACACACACACACACACACACACACACACACACACACACACACACACACACACACACACACACACACACACACACACACCACACACACACACACACACACACACACACACACACACACACACACACACACACACACACACACACACACACACACACACACACACACACACACACACACACACACACCACACACACACACACACACACACACACACACACACACACACACACACACACACACACACACACACACACACACACACACACACACACACACACACACACACACACACACACACACACACACACACACACACACACACACACACACACACACACACACACACACACACACACACACCACACACACACACACACACACACACACACACACACACACACACACACACACACACACACACACACACACACACACACACACACACACACACACACACACAACACACACACACACACACACACACACACACACACACACACACACACACCACACACACACACACACACACACACACACACACACACACACACACACACACACACACACACACACACACACACACACACACACCACACACACACACACCACACACACACACACACACACACACACACACACACACACACACACACACACACACACACACACACACACACACACACACATACACACACACACACACACACATACACACACACACACACACACACACACACACACACATACACACACACACACACACACATACACACACACACTACACTATGTATTGTACCATGCCAATGACCTTAGTTGTCGAGGCATTAACTCAATAATAATAACAGAATGCTCCCAGTACAGAACAATTTTCTTAATAAGCCACACACTTTTTTAAGATATTTCTCAAGGTAATACATGGAAGACCATACAAAAAAATGACACCCAGAAGATATAGATGACACCCAGTTTAAATTGAGAGGAGGACTAGTAACAAGAGAGGCTCTGTTCGTTTTTAACGTTCTCGCGCAAAAATGACTAGATATGAACCAGGATGTCTATGTCTGCTTATACGGGTTATTATCAATCTGTACTGGAATCAAAAAGCAAAGGTTAGAATCAAAAATGTCGATACAAAAACTATTGAAATTAAAAGAGGGGTTAGACAGAGTTGCGCGCTGTCCCCATTGTTATTTAATCTGTACAGCGAAGCTCTTTTATGAAATCAGTATCAGAGAAACAACCAGATATATTAATAAACGAAAAAATCTTAAACAACATAAGATTCGCAGATGACACCGCTGTTTTTGCAGACAGTCAAGAAATACTGCAACACTTAGTAAATAAATTACATTAAAGCTATGGTTTGTTAGAACAGTGAGCGACGCATAACTCACAGTCAGTCGAACGTCGCGCACGTTCGTCAAAATCAAAGAAATGGTTCTCTATGATAACGGTTTGTTAGGTTCTGCTGAGCTACGCGCACAGCAGACCGATAGCCGTGTACGTCGACGGTGTGCGCTGGAATCAACTGCGATTTGATTTGGACGCAAACGTTCAGCTGAGCTGACAGCGTACACATCTATACCGAAATTATAATGGACAGCCGGAGTGTGACGTCACATCTGTCATATTGTTGTCATTACTTTCCAAACAAAAGTTGAAATGTCAAATCTCAAGACTTTTTAATTTCTATAAAGATTATTTATTGAATATTAGTTTTATTAATTTTAATTTTAATTTATTTTTTAATAATTTAATATTAGTTTTCAGAGCGACAGAATGTTCTAACACCCAAAACTGCCGTGAGTCGAGTACAGCAGATTTTGCTGTGCGCTGTGCACTGTTCTAGCAAACCGTAGCTTAAGTCAGTATAAAATATGGACTACAAGAAAACAACAACAAGACTACAACAAGAAAATCAAGTAGGAAGGCTAGATATTGAGGAAAAACAAGTAGAAAGAGTGAATAACTACAAATATCTTGGAATCTGGGTAAATAAAAACAATGACCAAGATAGAGAAATAAGGACACGCATTAAAATTGCAAGACAAGCATTTATAAAAATGAAAACAATGTTTGTTAATCGAGACCTTCCTCTGGAGCTGAGGATAAGAGCCTTAAGATGCTACGTTTTCTCGACTTTGTTGTATGGAATGGAAAGCTGGACCCTAAAAGTGGATAATATAAAGAAGTTGGAATTATTTGAGATGTGGTGCTATAGAAGAATTTTAAAAATACCATGGAACCAACGAGTTATAAATGCAGAAGTGTTAAGAAGACTAAAAAAGGATTGCGAGGTCATAAAGCACATCAAAATAAAAAAGCTGAAATATTCGGGCTATATTACCAGAGATGCGAAATATAAGATATTAAGGCTCATAATGCAAAGTAAAATCAAGGTTAAAAGAGCCATAGGAAGACGAAGAATTTCCTGCCAAAGAATTTTAAGAAAGTGGTATAGTTGCAGCTCAGTAGATCTTTTCAGAACAGCCACCAATGAGATACGGATAGCTGTGATGATAGGAGAAGAAACTACAATAAGAAGAAAGGGTAACATAAATATGAAAACAACTCTGACATGTTTTTTAAATATAGTCAATAGTAACAGGTTCCAAAAGTTATATTTTACGGGATGAGTAGAAAGTTTCAGGACGAGGTGAAGGCGAGTTTAGGCCTTTCCTACAAATGAAGCCAAAGAACACCTCTAACGCCATGGACCGACGACATCAAAAGAAATATCTCCAGGAGGCCTGTGTTTAAAAGTGCGCAAATCAGGTCTGATAGATGATGATGATAATGATAATATATAAAAACCATGGAGTAAAGAGTAAACTGCAAATTTTATTTGATAAGTTGATAGTACCAAGATGAAATTAATTTTAATTTTTTTTTATTGTACCACAACAGTTTATTTGTTGTTAATTGTTCCAATAACGTTAACTTCAATGCGCGAAATACCTTCTACTGTACTTAAATTATTTTATAAAATATCAGAAAACCATAAAGTCAAAAACTCAATTAGTAAAAAAGAAAAGTAAAGAAATCCGTTGAACAAACGTGAACTTAATTAAAACTTCTTAATATAATTTTATAAATTTTAATAAGTTTACAACTTTATGTACATGAAAATTTAATTAATACATTAGATTGGCAAGCGTACAGGTAAAAATAATTTCAAAGTAAAAGGACATAACTTTATTAAAGAAGAGAAAATGGAATGCTTTCGCTACAACTTTCTTTAATATAAATTTTATATTATTATTAGTATTTTAATAATTTTTTAAATAAATTTTTGTTAACATATTTACCAAGTAAAATCTTTAAAAAATTATCAGCGGGAGCATACAGTGATTGCGCCAGTAGTAAGCCAGTTTACCATACAAATTATTTTGCTAAACTGTGTAAATTATGAAACCTAAAAAAATTCTCCCATTTATGCCTTTTTCAATACGTACATACGTATATCCACAGTATTTATGACAGATTATGACCCAGAAAAGGTTTGATAAGACTGAGAAGTAATTGTTACGTTAGTGTGTTTAGTTTTTCCAACGATAGAATAGGTTTTGTAACAGAAAACAGTATGAATTGTGCAGTTGTTTAGTTAGCTAAGATGGCCATTAAATCAAAGAGAACCTATTTTAAAAGATATTGTAATTGCAAACTTTTTACAAAAAGAAACCCTATTAAAGTCATATTAGAATTTTTGAAGGTGTAGCCATGACTCATATCCCTAAAGAAAAGAGATCAAAGTAGGATAAGAAGTCTGAAAAACTCAGTCTAGTTGGTACAAGATGGCCGTCAAATCAAAGGGAACCTATTTTAAAAAAAATTGTAATTGCAAACTTTTGAAGAACATAAACCTGATTAAAGTCATATTAGAATTTTTGAAGGTGTAGCCATGACTCATATCCCTAAAGAAAAGAGATCAAACAAAAAAAGGCAAGTTTCTACAAGCCAAGATATTATTATTCATGAGAATTTAAAGTTCCAAGAAGCGAGCTTAGAACAAGAAGTCTTACGTAAAGTGGGGCAATGTTTTAAATTTAGTTACGAATGACCACATAGTAAATAATGACAACATATTATCTGATGGTACTTTAGACAACAATTCAGAATTTGATAATCCAAATGATAGTAGCTTTATACCAGATAATGTATGTAACGATAGACCACTGTAACAGATAGAAAGGATTTGAAATAATTTTTTTCATCTAGAGTTTGGTATAAAAAAGTAGAAACTGTATTAGAATACTTAAATTACAAGATGTCAAAATTTAAACCTTGTACGTTCATTAAGCCTAATAATAGTTTTATTACAATAATTGCATTATATGTTGATGACTTTTTTATACTCTCTAACGATATTACTGAGAAAAATCCTTTAAAACAAGATTTTGCAGTAAATTTTAAGTTAAAAGATTTAGGTCAAGCTAAGTAAATCTTAGGTATATGAATATTTGTGTTGTTAAAGTTAACAATATTATTACTTTAGATCAAAAGTTGCATATTGATTCATTACTGTCAAAGTTTAATATGGATGATTGCAAAAGTGTTGAAACATTCATGGAAAAGAATTTGAATCTTGATAAAAGTAGTGATTACTCATTTTCTGCACCATATTAACAGTTGATTTTAAGCTTGATGTATCTAGCCGTAATGATGAGACCTGATGTCTCATATAACGTTTTTTATCTCAGCCAATTCAATAATTGTTTTGGTGATGTGCATTGGAAAAGTGCAAAACGATTATTAAAGTATTTAAATAAAACTTAAGATTTTTTTTTTTTAAATTTGAAAGAAGTGTAAAACTTTTAGAAGGTTTTGTAGAAGTAGATTGGGGTAGTAATACTGTAGATAGAAGGTCCTATAGAGGTTTTTGTTTTATGTTTTCCAATTCAGTTGTGACATGGGAGAGTACCAAACAAAAAACTGTTGGTCTCTCTAGCACAGCAGCAGAATATATGGCCTTATCGGAAATATCAAAAGAAGCAATATTTAAAAAAATTGTTAGAAGAATTAACGGATTCTAATGTATTTTCCAGTATTTCGTAAACGGTCTAAGCATGGTGATGTCCGTCACAACATTGTTAGAGAAGTTGTAGAAAATGGTTTCATTAGTATTGATTATCTAGAAATAAGTAAAAATTCCAGATGACATTTTAACAAAGGCTTAAGGCACATGAAAACATTGCACAAAAAGTGCAATACAAATCTTAGGAGAGATAAGGAGGAAAGAATCAGTTAAGAGACAAAACGACTTATGGAGACACGAAAAGAACTTAAGAACAAAAACGATACGAATGCACGCATACTACAACTTAATAAAGATATTAATAAAGCAGTGAGAAAGGACGTACGACAATATAAAACAAAACAGATTACAACGTTTGTCGAGGAAAATAAAAGTTTAAAGATGCTGAAGAGATGTCGAGCTCTAGGTAAGAAGAATATTGTTAAGCTCGCAGATCGAAATGGAAAAGTGGTAACAGATAAAGATAAGATAAATAAGGTAGTTAAAGAATGTTACATAGAATTATATAGAGAAAAGGGTAAACACAGCACCAAGTTGAAAAAAGTCCAGAATGTAAGTTCAGAAGTTATCCCAGAAATAACAATCGAAGAAGTCTCAAATTCATTAAATCAATTAAAAAACAATAATCCAGCTTGTGATGATCAAATCATTATTGAGGCAGTTAAAGCAGGAGGAAAGACAGTATTGAAAGCATTGACGCAATTATATAACTTATGCCTTTCAAAAGAGGTTACAACATCTCAGTGGAATAAAGCTGGTATAGTAGTCATGCACAAAAAGGGAGATATAACAGAGCTAAAGAACTATAGACCTATTAGCTTGTTATCTCACGTTTATAAGTTGTTTATGAAGATAATAACTAATAGGTTGACATCAAAACTAGACTTCTATCAACCTTGCGAACAAGCAGGATTTAGAGATGGATACGGAACAGATGATCATTTGCAAACCAATAAGTCGTTAATTGAAAAATCCATTAAATAAAATAGACCTCTGGTACTTGTCTTTGTCGACTTTGAAACAGCATTTGATACGGTCAATCAAAGTGAAATGCTCCAAGCTCTAACACAATGTAGAATAGATCACCGATACATATCCCTCATCAGATACATCTATCAGCATGCTACAGCCTGTGTTAGACTTAATGAAGATACTGGGACCTTTCGTATTGAAAGAGGCATTCGGCAAGGAGACAACATGTCTCCTAAATTATTTAAACTTTGCTAGAATACGCTTGTAAAACAATATATTGCATCAATGTAGATGGAAAATTTATAAATAACCTTAAATTTGCAGATGATATCGTTCTTATTGTAGGCAGCTTTGATCAGGCACAGATAATGCTCCAAGAACTCCATACTGCCACAAAAAGTGTTGGTCTGAAAATAAATTTTTCAAAACACAATTTATGACAAATTTAGTCCACAACAAAAACATCTCAGTAGAAGACAAAGATATTGAGCCAGTTGACTCCTATAAATACTTGGGCCATGAGATCGGAATAAGTCGAGACAATCAAAAAATTTAGCTGAAAAGAAGAATAAACCGCTCGAGCTGCATTTGGAAAGATGAAGGATATTTTTAGGTCTAAGATTCCAATGTGTCTGAAAAGAAAAATATTTAATAAGTGTATTTTGCCAGTGATGACCTACGGCGCAGAAACCCTAACACTCACAAGAACAACAGTGAGTAAACTACAAGTTGCGGAAAGGGCATGGAGAGAATAATGTTAGGGATTTCTCTACGTGATAGAATACCCAATGCTACTATACGCAAAAAAACAGGAGTAGCAGACGTTATTGAAAGGATAACAACACTAAAGTGGAACTGGGCAGGTCATGTAGCAAGATCAGTTGATGACCGGTGGACAAAAAGAATTTTGGAATGGAGACCCCGAATACAAGCTAACAGAAATAGACGTCGACCCCTAACGAGATGGACAGATGACATAAAAAGGGTGACTACAAATTGGATGCAGATGGCGCAAAATCGGACTAAGTGCAAAAGCATGCGAGAGGCCCATGTTTAGCAGTGGACGCTAGAGGCTCGTTGATGATAATAATAATGAAACATTGTAAGTTTGTGAAATATTTAGGTGTCACTAATTGTAGATGGTAGTATTCTGTAGAACCTATATTATTTTTATTGGTTCATATATTTCAAATTAGTACATTTTCTACATACATTAGTACATTAGTACATTTTCTTGATATCCCCATGATTCATGTGTTGAAACAAATTTGTTGCAAACATTTTATTTAAACACTTAGTTTCCTATTTTATTTTTGGTGGCATTTTATGCGTAATATTTTTAGGCGGCTCTAATAAAA